GGGAGGGAGGGAGGGAGGGACTAAATTCCATCACTTGGAGATGGTATAAGACTCTCAGTTCTTGGTAGGAGTCAATTGCACTTAAATCTTATATTCTTTCTTCTCTTTACCAGGTGATGGCTGTGGATACATAGTGACCTCTCAGGACAGCGGTACAATGACATCTAAGAATTATCCAGGGACTTACCCTAATCACACTGTTTGTGAAAAGACCATCACAGTCCCAAAGGGGAAGAGACTGATTGTGAAGTTGGGTGATTTGAATATTGAATCCAAGACCTGTACTTCTGACTATCTTCTCTTCACCAGCTCAACAGATCAGTATGGTAAGAAAAGATGTGGGTTTCTGTGAGCATGGAAGACACCGAGCAGAGAGAAAGACCAGCAGTGTGTTCATGAGCATCACAGCCTGGCAAGAATGGACGAGGCGCTTGCTTTGTGTAGGCTCTCTGGGTAATGTAGGTGCATTTGCTTCATAAACTGAAACAGTCCTCTGGGTCTCAGGGTTCTTTGAATTTCTGTCTTGCTGGAAAGAACACTGGAGACATCTGTGACATTTGTCTAAAACACGTTTATTGAGTGTTTACTGTGTATTTCAGATACTCTGAAGAACTGGGCTATAACAGTGAAGAAACAAAATTCCTCCCCTGTAGCTTACCCCCGTGGTTAGAGAATGGGAGGAAATAGATGCATTTATACTATGGCAGGTGGTGAGAAAGAAAAAGAGTAAGGCAAGGAAGAGCCTGTTGTAAGTCTGCTGATTCAGATGGGGTGGTCAGGCGGGCCCCTCCAATAGCTCAAGATTTGAGCAGAGACTGATGAAAGGAAATGAACTCTCAAGTTAACCTGTGCTCTGAGGTTTCTGGTAAAGGGACAAGCAGTGCAAAGGGAATTTTCTTAAATAACTTTTGAAATTTAGTTTCTGGTGGTTTGAGTTCCTCTGTTAGTGCCTGAAATCACCATCTGTGATGGTTCATATTGTCAACTCGACAGGATACAGAAAACAAATTAGAAGACCTTGGAATCAAATCTCTGGGAAGGTCTGTGAAGGATTTTCTGGATTTGGTTAATTGAGGTGGGAAGGCCCACCTCAACTACTGGACTGAATAAAAAGGAGAAAGTAAGTATGAGCATTCATCTCTGTCTGTCTCCTGACTGAGTGTGGTATGACTAGCCACCTTGAACTCCTGCTGACATGACTTCTCTGGGAAGATGGACTGTACCCTTGAACTGTGAGCAAAAATAAAACCTTTCTTCCTTAAGTTGCTTTTGTCAGGGTATTTTAGTCACAGTACCAGGAAAAGTAACTAATTCACCATCATAGTGATCAGTTGATCCTAAGTCCTAGGAGACAGCTTTTAGTAAAACAATTAGAAACCCAATCCTATAAACAGATTTATTGAGCTTAGAGATATTTTTTCAGAAATTCTGTATGTATCCAACTCCAAAAATGATTCAGGCTATAGGTAACCTCTTGCTTGCCCATTAAGCTCTCCAGGAGGCAGTTAGTTTCTCAAACACATTCAGCTGTCCACCTGTCTTTGCACTTGAGCCCAGTATCTCTGCTCTCAGAAAACCGAGAGACAGACAGAGACTGAGGAAGAAGAATAAGGAAGAATTAATTGAATATATCCAGCTGGGTTGCAAATTTGCTGGTTGTCTTGACTACTTCAGAGTACCTATTATCCGCTACAATTTTAGATTTTAGTTAGTTAGTTGGTTTGTTTGTTTTAAGAGAGGGTCTCATGTAGTCTAGGCTGGCCTTGAACTCAAGGATGATCTTGAACTCATAATCCTTCTGCCTCTACCTATGGAGTGCTGTAATTACAGGCATGCGCCATGCCTCTTTTATTTGGTGCTAGGGAACAACCCAGAGCTTCATGTGTGCAAGATAAGCCCTCTACCAACTGCCTACATCTCCATCTTGAGATTCTTGGGGCTGGAGGGATGGTTCAGTGGTTAAGAGCTCTGGCTACTCCTGCAAAAGACCTGGGTTCAATTCCCAGCACCCACATGGCAGCTAACAACCATCTGTAACTCCAGTTCCAGGGAATCTAATACCCTCTTCTCACCTCTTCAGGAATTGCACAACAAAGGTGCACTTACATACATGCAAACAATATACTCATACACATAAAACAAAAATTTAAATAAATAAATAAGTAAATAATTAAAAAAAATTTTAAAGCAAAGTTTAGATTCTTCACTAGGAAATAGATGCTGAATTGTGATTCATGTGTAGCAGTAAAGCTAATTATTTCTCTTTAAAGTTTTTCTGTATAGTTGTGTTTGTCTTTTACAAACAGAATTTATGTTCATAGAGATGAGTCTGTTGGACAGGAATGGCCCTTGCACATATTTTCTAGAATGCCTACATTCATCCTTGGGTAATTCTTATTAATTTCCTTCTACAGATAAGTGAAGTCACAATGAGATTTGGTAACATGACCAGGATTACACAACTAGATCATTAAGGGCCTAGGGAAGACTTATTTTTGTGTCTTTGTGGTTCTATAAGACACCTATTTCCATTGCTCTTCCCTTCCAATTCCAGCATCCAAATAAGCTATTGAATGGTTCTTAACCTTTTCAGGCAGGGAGGAACCCCCAGCAAGGCAGCACAGGACTGTAGTCCCAGCATATGGGGAGGAGGAGGTGGGAGGACCTCCTGCAAAAGGTCATCCTCAGCTGTATATCCCGTTCAAGGCCTACTTGTGCTATGAACCCTGTCTTCTCAGCTGGACCAGTCCATTATTCTGTTATGCAGCAATTTTGTCTAAGACAGAAGCAGAATAAGTAGTGATTTTAGTTGATGTTAAGACAACATGTTTAATGATACTTAGAGTTTCTTTCTTTTGTGGTTACTTTAAAGATTTCCTTTGATGAAAGCCACTAACCAGACCTATGTTTTAACTAAGTTAAAATAGTCCCCTGGTCAGTTTGAACTTCCTCAGGGAATACAGGAGAAGGCAGAGACGCTTTGTGTTCCTGTAACCTGAGCTTAGGCAGGGGGCAGTTTTGTGCCCTGCTGCTCCATCCTGGGAGGCTGGGAGGGTGGGGCCCTTCTACAGCTATGTGGCCACGGGGTCTGCATAAGTGCAGGGGCTGGGCTTCAGTGCCAGCACAGGGTTCCAGAAACCCACAGCCATATTGGAGAATGCCCACTGAAGAGTGGTGGGGAGGGACTGCATGTTCTGGAATGTCTTCTGTAGTTCCCTCTGATAGTTGTTATGTGTGACTGAAACAGTTGGGTGCTTTTACTTTATACAGTTCAGTATTTTTCATTAAGTAACTAATTGTTAAAACCGACTGACAAGGAACTTTAAGACTCAAAATTATCAGCATTTTCAATGTGGGGTAAATGTTTTGAAAAAGAGTGATGTTTAGGTGTGAGCCTTGGCAAACTTAGCTGAGTGAATATTCTTGGAATGTGTTCACATTAGCTATTGCAAATATGTTCAAGCTGTACAGGTTTCATCACTGGCCAGTTAACTCTTGATGGTTCATCCCCATGCCAATTTTGTTTAAAATGTTTGATTCATATACTTAGGGCATTTTTTAAAAATTCACATTCTTTAGCAACTGAGGAGATAGCTCAGGGCAATGCCAGCTTGAGGACCTGAGTTTGGATCCCCAGAACCCATGTAAAAGCCAGATGGGGAAGTACATGTCTATAACCCTGGTTGGGGTTGGGGTCAGGGTCAGTGTGGAGAAGGTAGGTCCTGGGGAGTTCACTGGCCACCCAGTCTAGTCAAAACAGTGAGCTTCAGGTTCAGTAAGAGACTTTGCCTCAAAAAAGAAGGGGAAGAAGTGATCACGGAAAGACATCCTGACATCAACCTTTGGCTTACACACACACATGCTCGCACGCACACACACCCAGAGAGAGAGGAACCTACATTCTTTGAAACAGAATGAACTGTCAGTAACTGTAAATGCCCCACTAGCTTTCATAGGGATCAGGCAGATGCACACTGAAGCTTGGTGTTAAAAGACCTGATGCAGACAAGATGGGATGATGAGTCTGTTTGTCATGTATATATGTATATATTCAACATCAATTAGAAGAAGGTGCTTTTTAGTCTGTAGCTAAGTTAAGAAAATGACCCTGCAATTTGCCCTTGAAATGGTTTTTAAAAAGTGGAATAATTAATAAATTTAAGCATATCAATTTTAGAAAATATATTTATTTTTGAGGAAAAAATTAATTATTAAAGATATTTTAAAGCACCAATTTCACTTACTGTTTTTTTTGAGACAGAGTCTCATGTATTATAGGCTGGCTTCAAAAATCTTTATGGAGAAGAGATGGGCCTTGAAGTCCTGATCCTCTTTTCTTGGTCTGGCTAAAAGTTACTTTAAAAAGTGATACAAACCTGGTGTGGGTGGCACACATCTTTAGTCCCAGCACTTGAGAGGCAGAGGCAGGGAGATCTGTGAGATCAAGGCCAGTCTGGTCTACATAGCGAGTTCCAGGTCAGCTGTTGTGCTACAGGGAGACCCTGTCTCAAAAAAATCAATAAAGAAATAAAGTGATATAACACCAGTTGTAGTGATTCACAAGTGTAATCCCATCACTGAGGAGGCTGAGGCAGGAGGATTGCTGTGAGTTCAGTACCAACTTGGGTTACATAGTGAGTTCCAGTCCATCTTGGGTTGTAGTGAAAGCCTGTCTCAAAACAAACAGTGATAGTATTATGTTGGCCAAAAATGCATTACTTCAATTTAATCACAGAGGAACATCAAAACAACCGAAATTGACAGACATTGTACAAAATAACTGGGCAGCACTCTTTAAACTGTACAAAAGATAACGACGGGCTGAGGAATTTTCCTAGATGAAAGGAGACTGAGGAGGTAGGCCAACCTGATTGTGAACTGGATGGATGCTAGACTAGGAAAGCAGCATTATTGTTTCTTTGAAGGGGCATCTCAGTCACCCTGGTCCTCTTAGTCTTGATTTTTTAAAATGTCTGTTAAGCAAAACATGATGCTTCTTATTTAGGGCCGTGGGGGGAGGGGGACAGAATAATAGCATACATGATCATGAAAGTCAGTATATAATTTATCACCCCAATTTTTTTTTGTGAGTATAAAAGTGAAGCTGGGCATGGCAGTACACATCTGTAACCCCAGCACTAGGAAGGCTAAGGTAGGAAGAGGTCATAGTTTGAGGCCACCCCGGGCTATGTACGAACTTGGAAGAAGGAGGATCAGACAAAGTTAGAGGACATCCTCATCTGAACAGGGAATTTGAAGCCAGTCTGGACTACAAGATCCTGTCTCAAGAAAAAGCAAATAAACAGGGAAAAAGAATACACACAGA